CCTCGTACTCTTCATAAAATAGGCAAATTCTCTGGTTATATAAAGTGTAAACTGCCAAGTAAGTTGAGAAAGCGAGAATATTGTTATGTATGTTACCCACAACACAAGGACTAACAAAAATAATGTGATTAATAGATAGCTATGTTTGCAGGAATTGCTTCATCTTTGTCTCACAATATATATTGAGGATTTATCCTAAAGATTCACAGATCTGAAGAGATTATTATTTTCAATCGAATTCCAGAGAGAACCAGCAAATACTTAGCACCTGAAACTTGGTCGTTGGAGTTTGATTGGTTACAAAGTTATACGACAGAACAAGGAGATGTGCCATGCAATCTTGATGGAGATGTCCCATGCAATCTTGATTGAATAAAAAATATGAATTACCAATTCAAAGTTATACAAAGCCAAGTTTGGACGCCACAAACACGATATTTAAATCAAAAACATCGGAACAATAACTCAAATAAGAAGAAGATAATAATATCAAAATGCCTTGTGGAATGAGACATTTGATTTTTATTAGCAGCAAGTGGAAACATAATTAGAAAAATTAAGCAGAGAAAATAGATGTGTGTGTGTATATACCATTCAGATCCAAGAAGGGTCTTCAAGTTATGCACTTTCGGTATGTTTCTTCTACATACCTTCTTCAATAGCCGAGTTTCTCTGATGCAGTGGCTGTAATGCAGAATCTGGCAATGTGTTTTGCTTTAGATTCTGCTTGATTGTTGCCACTTCCAACTTGTGTCTCCTCTTCAGCTTTTCCATTTTCTTCTTTAGCTTCTCGTTTTGTTCTTCTACTTCATTGAACTTTTCCTGCAACCAAATATGTTCACAGTGGGATCCCAAAACTCAGAAAACAGTCTCACACTTGTACACTTAACGGTTCATTGATTCAAATATGATTTTTTTTGTTTGTTACCTCGGCAGTTGATGCTGATTGTTCGGCTTCTCTGAGTCGAACAAGAACTTCTCCAGCAGTATGAACAGCTTCTGCAGTATTTCTTAGTTGAATCTTGAGGCTTACGTTTTCCCTTTTCAATAAATCCCTTTCTCTTTCTCTTTCTACTCTAAGTGCCGAGAGCTCAGTAGCAAGTGACTTGGCGAAACGAGAACCGCAACCTTTTTTCCCAGCCTTCGATACTGCCTTCTTCAACTCTGTTATCCATTCCACCGTTGCTTTGTGCTTCGAACCCAAGTCGTTGTACTTCTCTTGTAGCTCTGTGTAGTGTTCAACAAACCTGGCATGACCAAGAACAGCTCTATGAAGAGCATCCTCTAACTCCTCAGTAGATAGTTTCTCTTGTTTAAGCTCTGCTTCAGCTTTCTCTGCGCGTGAACGTTGTGTTTCAATCTCAACTCTGAGCTCGTCGGTCAGTGATATCCACTCGCTTTCCATTTCTGTGCACCTAAGTCTTTCTTCCTCGATATCATTTTCAGCATTCTTGTTACGGAGTTGAAACGATCGGGCTAACAAAGATGATCTCAGTTCATCGGTGGACATGGTTAAAGGCCTCTGCAACTTGCTTTTCAGATCTTCAATTTCTTTCAGTAATGCCTCTTTCTCACCAATATCAAAGTTTGTCTTTTTGGAGTCCTCCTCTGGGATTTGTTTTACTTCATACTTTTCAATTATGACTTCTGCTTGGTCACGCTCAACAACATCATTGCAGCTGAGAAGCTGCACAACCATAGAATTGGGATATACAAGTGTTACAATCTCTCAGATATTTTCACTATAGATAATTCACAGAGCTAACAAAAGCAACAACCAACCTGGTTTTCATTTGCTGAAGGAAGTCGTTCTCCATTACTTGCTCCCACAAGTTCTTCTGTTTCATTCTCAGTTTGAAGCTTGTGTTGCTCTAACTGAAGAAGATATAATAGTAACCAGACTGCTTAACCATATGTGCTGATCAAAGTTTCAATAGATATAAGACACAGAAATTGGGTTACCAGGCGAGTTAGCTGTTCAATCTTGGCTGCTTGCTCTGTGCATAGACTTTCAAGCTCTTTCTGCTTCTCAGTAACCCCTTCCCTTTGTTGATTTCCATCCTGATTGATATTATGTTCAATAATGTTAGCTTCAGGATAGCTCTTATTTTAACTGAAGTCTATGAAACATACTTTATCTGCTATATCACTTGTTATACTTACTTTCTCAACTACACTTGATAATTTAGAGCTGCGAAGAACAGTATAGCTGTTCTCAGATTTCTGTCTGCAGGAAGGACAGAGTGGTGATAGAGGTTTATCATCCAGTAGTATCTCTGTGGAAGGTTGCATGGTCAAGTTATCAGAAGACAAGGAAACTGAGCATCGGTTTGATGCAGGGTTCAGCGGACTGTCAATAATATCCAAGCCTCTCCTCAGACTTGCAGCTAGAGATTCTGTAGAGCCTGTGAATATCTTGCTTCCTCGTAAAGATGACCTGACATGTTGGCTCTCTGCAAGACACACAGATCTTATGCTCTGCGCCAGGCTATTCTGATTCCTGAGACATGATGAAGAAAGAGCTATGCTCTTCCTTAGAGAGTCTCTGATTTTAGGAGACTCTGACTGGATTGGTTCTTGCAAGATTAAGGATTGACGGCAAGGATTGATTGATATGCTGTTTTCCGACGCATATTCCTTTATCCTGGAATTCTCAGTTGATTTATTTGTTGCTGCAGCATTGTTGTCGTCATGTTCTTTGAAAGATTCATTCAAATCTTTCTCTTCAGTTTCTATTTCTTCTGAAAAGATCTCATCATCATCATCCATTAGCTCTGATTCATCAAATGCTGTTACAAAGGAAGAGCTGACTGACTCTCTGCAGATAGGGAGCTTCTTTAGTTTCTCGTTGAATGAACCACGCAAGGACTTGATCTGCCGATGCAATTCCTTTACATCATCCTCATCAACCGTTATCTCTTCCTCGTCATTATCAATCTTTGGCAGCATTAAAGATCGGTTAAGACTAACTCTTAGTTGATTCAAATTTCCACGTGCATTCTTTGCTCCGAAATGATCCTTTTTACTCCCAACAGAATGACAAGCATCAGCTTTGGCTCTTATAAGTTCTTCCTGCAAAACAAATGAATCTTTTAATAACTGACCAAACTTCAACAACCAAAAAAAAAATACAAAGGGGGAAAGGGTAGGTGGAAGAAGAGATTAAACCTTTAGAAGACGAATCTGGTCACTCAAATCATTCACATCTTCTTCTGAGATCTCATTTATCAGTGGTTTGTTTCCCATGGATTTAGCTCGTTCACCAAATCGAAGGGTGCTCATTGTTCTTTTTGTGTTTCTGCGTAACACAAGCAAACTCTATTAGTATACAAAGTGGGAATCCTGTTATTTAAATGCTCAACAACTGTTTTTGAGCTTTGTCTTGTCAGCATATTTACCATACAAAATGAATGTCAACAAGACCTGAGATTAGCTCTTGTATTCTTTGTACAGATCATTATACTGATTGAATCCTATACTTGGTACCGTAAGGCTGCTATGAATATATTTAACTAAGAATAAGTGATAACAAGGTGGAGACAATACTTGTCGCTCGGTAAAATATTGCACAGGATAGTGAGTTTTGAATTGCCACCAAGCGATTCTTGCAATAAATGCGTCAAGCATGAGGTTTTATGAAGACTGCGGTCAGATATTCCAGGGTGGACGTTTTTCGCCAGAGCATCTACAACATGTCTGCACCAATTGTAAGATTGACAATATTAGCAGATCACTAATGAAGTTGTTGATTGTTTTTGTTCCCCCTCTTATTGGAAAGTAACACTGGGAGTTCATAAAGTTATACCCGAGCTCCGCTAGAGATTTCTTCAAGAATTTTTGTTCCTCGACACAATGTTTAGTTGCATCACGTTCATTTAATCCCGCTCCAGCAAGATCAACAAGGTTGATCCTGCTGGTTCTGGTAGTATTGAAACATCTAGATGAAGCTCCCTGTGAACAGATAATACTTGATCAATCGTTCATGAGATTTGAATACACAAGAAAGTCGAAAATTAACTATACCTTGCTCCAAGTCTCGACAATGAAAGAAAGTATGACATGTGATCGAGAGCTTTGAAAACTTGTGCTAGTTGCTCCAACTTTTCTGCTTGAAAGTCCCTGAAAAGCAGAACAGAGTGCACAATAAAACGTGAGAGATGGACATGGAAACAGTGAAGAAATGAGCCCTGCATCAACGAAACCGAATGAGTAGTGTGCAGAAGCATATAGCAGTTTCCAGGACCTAGCGAAACAATATGCATAGTATTCATAACTAGAATACTTTATACTTGGAGCTAGAATCATACCTTCATCAGTATTTGAGCTACATCTTCATAACTATCTACGTATTCCTCAGTCAGGTTCTCGATATAAATACCATTCTTTGCATCATCCTTTATCTGCCATATCACTCAATTAATAATCAATTTTCTTAACTCAACAAAGATTAACATATGAAAAGGAAACTACAGATTAGTGAAGCCAAACCTTAAGATTTCTCTGGGTTTGATCGATCAAATCACTGATTTGTCCATTGTATATCTGCAAGAAAATGTTAAGCAATCTAACTTAGGAACTTCTAGAAGCAAAATTTCTCAAAACAGAATTCTTCATACAGGTTTGGCAAAGGCACCTCAAGAAAAGAACAACGGCACTGATAGTTCACTTCTTTTCCTCCAGACTTCATCTTCTCCTGCATAATAGGTGAAAGTTAGGATGCTTATTGATGAACCAGCCGATCATAGCTCTCATCATCAAACAAAAGCTTTGGTAATAGTGAGAAGCATAGCTTACTCTCTGGATTTCAGAAAACAACATCTGAAAGATTCGAGGCGCGAGTCCTTGCTCGCCTTTAGGAGATGGTTCTTCAAGCATAGAACCTGCTGGACCCCACATTGTGTAGGTCTTGCCGCTTCCATTCTAAGAGATCCAATAAAAAAAGGGTTACAGTATTTTCAACTTCGTATAACGAAAAATTGGTTTTGATAGCTCAAAAGAAAAACATCATTCAGTACCTGCCCATATGATAACACACTAGTGTTGTAACCTGATAATGCATCCCGAACCAAAGGAAAACCTATTTGCTGAAATACATCGTCCTGGCATCAAAACAAGCTGGCTTATGAGAAATGAACACAATAAAAAAAGAAAAGATAACTCACTTAGTAGAACCATATCCAAATTGTGTGAGTGAGAGAGAGGAACCTGATTTAGATTTGAGTCGAGAACCGAATCGAATGTAAATTGACGATCCCTAACAGAATATGAATCTTTGGAAACTTTTTTCACAGTCCAGCAATACTCCTTTGTAGGTCTAATCCTCACCACAACCTTGATATATACAAAACAAAAAAACCAATCCAAATAACGAGAATTTTAGGAAAGAAGCAAAAATCTCTAATTCATAGAAGAAAAAAAACCAACCTTTACATGTGGGTTCGAGGCTTCTTCTACTCCATTGCTAGTTTTCAATGCCGATATTCCCCTTCGCTGAAATTCC